TTCCACCTGACTGGCCAGTGGGATTTTGAAGTGGCGTTGACAGAGCTTTCTGGACACTGATTATATAAGAACAGTCGTGCTGTGCGAGACCAACGGTCCTTCTAGCCCCGTATCCAGGTGCTCCGAAGGGAATGAACCCAACAGGCAATCATCATGTGATCCGTCCCACGGTGCCCAATCCCAGCTTCTGATCTTGTGGCAAACAGAAGCTAGATCCCCGTCCATCCTGGCTAACAGACAGACGGACTAATCCTCCATGAGCTTATCTAATTGTCTTTTGAACCCTGTTATAGTCTTGGCCTTCCCAATATCCTCCCACACGCCCTAGGAAGCAGGCAAACATGCAAGGGGACGTACAAGCACGATTCGGACTTGCCTTTGGATTGTGATCGTAAAGAAGGTTGAGGTTGATTCTCAGCTTCCTCATACATTCAAATGCTTCTTTAAACATTAGCCTGTTGGGACAGGTCAAAATACAGCAGGTTTTTAGAGAGGAGTGTGCACTACCACCTAATATACGCAGGGCCGGAGGCGAACACACACCAGACTGTGGCTTAACTCTTTCACTGCCTTCCCTGTGGCACAGCAGGCTGGCTGTGCTCATGCTAGTTCCTCCTCTGCCCCAGCCAGATATCACAGTGGGTTAGCATTTAACCAGGGGCAGGCAGGCCAGTTTGAAAGAGTTGTAGTTGGGTTTAGACAAACAGATCACAGACAGAGCTGTGCAATTTTCTCCCGATAATAGTTTATTTGCCCAAAAATTCATTATTCAAAGAAAAAAATCTTAAATTCAGTAGTTTCAAACAAATACAGAAAAAAAGAGAGTCAAAATCGTTCTCCTTTTGAAATGTAGCCAGAAGCTGTTAAAAGCAATAAAAGGAAAACACACCCAAAAGTATAACAGAAAAATAAATCATTTAATTTCAGAGAGAATAACTGAAACATTTCAGTTTCAGGTTGAACCCAAAATCATTTTTTTCTTCCAGATTTTTTGGTTCCGGGGCTGAGAAAAGGTCTCTAGGCTCAGACACTTTTCAGTTTGATTAGAACAGTGACATTTAGAAAAGTTTTATTCCACGAGACAGTCTTATCCTCTAGGGTAAGTTATAATTACAGGCAAGATAGGGACTGTAGGTTTGTTCTTAAGTTGAATCTGTATGTAAGTTGGAACTGGCGTCCAGATTCAGCCGCTGCTGAAACTGATCAGTTTCAACAGTGGCTGAATCTGCACTTTTCAGTTTGATTAGAACAGTGACATTTAGAAAAGTTTTATTCCACGAGACAGTCTTATCCTCTAGGGTAAGTTATAATTACAGGCAAGATAGGGACTGTAGGTTTGTTCTTAAGTTGAATCTGTATGTAAGTTGGAACTGGCGTCCAGATTCAGCCGCTGCTGAAACTGATCAGTTTCAACAGTGGCTGAATCTG